GCGGTCCACACGAGGCCTCACAACCCGGACTGGTGAAGCACCACCTGCATGATCTTAGATAAGTTATCACTTGAAAACCTTTACACCACTACCAAGAGAGGCTAATGAATAGTAGTAGTAGGCATCCCTCAGTCTCAGGAGACTATGGTGTTGCTCTGGAGTGGCCTCACTAGGGCGCAAAGCCAGGGTAGGTTGATATGGAGGAGAAGCTGTTACCCAGGCAGCAGGTCCTCTTGTCTGCTCTCTCAAAACTGCTAATGTCCTTCCAATAAAATGATTAGGGTGTATCAAAGCAGCTGATGCCTCTCTCTAAATATCTGCCCCCACATTCATCTCTTCCCCCTCTCCGAAGCAGTTGATGTTTCACGAACAAAACGCCCGATGTCTTTTCCCCCTCTCAGATTAGCTGACATATCCATCTTAAAAAGCTACTTACACAGTCATAAACTTGTAATGTTTTGATAATGTGAAGCACCTTGAGGCACTTGGGATCCTTGAAGGGTTAAAAGTCATTACGGTCGGTCACTGGAGTGTGTATGTGCTTGTTGTTGCTAGTGTTCTTGTTGCTGGGTGTTAGCAGGGGTTGTACTACGCTCACTCCACACAAATGTGATTGTTCATTCATGGAAGGGTGGGTTTGTGTGTGTGTGTACTCACCTAGTTGTGCGGGGGTTGAGCTCTGGCTCTTTGGTCCCGCCTCTCAACCGTCAATCAACAGGTGTAGAGCCTATTAGGCTCTTATCATATCTGCACTTGAAACTGTGTATGGAGTCAGCCTCCACCACATTACTTCCTAATGCATTCCATTTGTCAACCATTTGTGTGTGTGTGTTTTGGGTGGGGGTTAGAGATTGAAATTGAAATAGAAATAAGTTTATTGAGGTAAAATACACACAAAGGGATGAGGTAGCTCAAGCTATTCTCACCCCGTTCAGTACATCGTGTTAATACATACATAAACACACATTACAAACAATAAACATATTACCAAACATTCTGAGAGATAAACATATACATTTCCTGCGTTAGAGAGGGAGCGAGGAAGCTTGTAGTATTCATTAAGAGAGCATCACTGCTAATCCTGTTGAACCTGTATTACAGTTGACAGAAAATAGAAAGCGGGAGGGAGGTTGAGATGGATGTAGGCTCAACGGGCGTGGGAGTGAGTTAGGGTAGTGTAATTAGGAGTGGTGCATGGTGCAGGTGTGGTGCATGGTGCAGGTGTGGTGGTGATGGTGAAGAGAAGGAGATCAGTGATAAAATGAGGGGGAGAGATGTAGGGTGAGAGGGCGTGTGAGAGGGGAAGGAGAGGCAGACAGGGAGAAGAGAGTGAAGGGTTACGTCATGCTCTTCATGGTATGAGGGATACCAGACCTCAACGCTCTCCTTGTGTGTAGCTAGTTCCCCACACCCCGCCCCCCTCCACCACTTCCTGGCTCCCTTACCCCTTCCCTGCTCCCTGGCCCCCTTCCTGGCTCCCTGGCCCCCTTCCCTGCTCCCTGGCCCCCTTCCCTGCTCCCTGGCCCCCTTCCCTGCTCCCTCACCCCCTTCCTGGCTCCCCTACATCATCCTCCTCCTCTCCTACCCCCCGCCACTCTTCTCTGGTTTACTTGTGATCCACTTCGAGAGTTTGCCCACTTCGTAGCCTAGCCTGGAGCCGGTCTAGTTTAGTGATTGTCAGGACCCTCTCATTTTCCCACTCACCCTCCAGCCTCTCCCCTCCCGCTAGCTCTGCCCCCTCCATTAAAACACCTGCTTTAAGAATCATTTGCTAGTATGTATTTCACATATTTGTTCACGTGTGTCTGCTATTTAGAATAACCGTCACTGAAATCATAATATTGGCGCTGCCCAGTAAACTCGCCCCTCGGGGCAAAATTTAAAAATTTAAACCCTAGGATGCATGAGAATTATCCTGGCATGTACCGAGATTTTTGGAGAAGTATACATGTACAAGTATACAAATATGATGACGGCCTCAGTAATTTAGGTGTTATAACGTGTGTATGCGTGCCGTATGTTGTCTGTATTCCTTTCATTACAGAGCTCTCTCTCTCTCTCACCTGCCTTGTAAAGGGGGACTGAGCTTCCAGCAGTACCCAAGGTGGAAGAGTTAGTGATTTGAGAAGTAGCATTGTAGTGGCAATCCTTGATTAATTAAGGTACTCGTAACTCACCAGTTTCCTGGCTGATAGCTACTCTTTACCTGGCCAGGCTCACTACATGTTTGGTCGCCTGACTTTATTATTTCTACATTATTTTATACAGCGTTTTATTTCTACGAGAATGTCTGCATCTTGTATCCCGACATGTATGCGGGCCGTTGGAAGACATACATCAGCCTCAAGGGTTTACTGTATCGTGTATGACGCAGTTTCTTGCAGAGAGTCGTTGGCTACTACAGTTAGAAGAGGAGGATGACTCAACACTCGTATATCTTTGTTTATGACAAATATGATCGTGTAAAAAGAGTATTGCTTTGGGTGCACCACCCTGGGGGACAGATGTTTCCAGGTGGAGGATCCTGATTTGAGCGACTGTTCGAGTGCCGTTTGTTCGTAAGTTGAAGACACATCTCCCTTCCATTTCAGTTGTTCATTTCGTACACATTTGTTCTGTTACGCTATTGGTTGAAGGAGTGTGCGTGTTGCATTGGTTGTACATGCAACACCATTGTGATCCGGAGAGAGCGTCCCGTGTCGCCTAGGATAGTGTAGACCTTTTGATGTACAATAATGCAGTTGTTTTTACGGTTGCTTTAATAACCAATTATTGTATTTTGGTTAATGGTGGCGGTGATGCTGGTGCAGCACAGTTGTTGATGGTAGTGGCGGTGCCTGGGTGGATGGGGGAGCGTGTTGTGGTTGCTGGTAGTTGTGGTGGTGGTGGTTGATGCTAGTGTTGAGGGCAACTGAAACATTATACGGCCGTATATGGAGATTGCAACATTGCTGCAGCATGTTGCGCCATGTACCGAGACGTGGTTGTGAATATGGATGCCTCCTCGCCACTCCCAACACATTCACAATCATTTGCATACATTGCAAAGTGTGGGGTCACCATTTGTGTTCGAGCACCGCATCACTATTGGGAATGTGGAGGAAAGGGGGCATAACTAGGCGAATTCTCACGATGTTCAAAAATAAAGAGTTTGATAAACACGTCTCTTGATCAGCTGTGCTGTGATCCATACGTTAGACTGCCAGTAGCGGCGCCTAACAGCCTGGTTAAACCAGACCACCAACCAGGTGGTCTGGTCAGAGACCGGGTCGCTGGGGGAACATTGATACCCGAAACCGGGAACATGATCGCAGTCACCTTAGGGGGAAACAGAATGAATTAAAACGCTGCAGACCTTCTCATTAGTGCAGTAGAATGCCTCCCTATAAGGTGCAGACAGTACACCTAGGTACTCGCGGCTACTTTCTTAGGAAACTTGGTAAACAAATTCAGTGATGCGGATCAACTGGGGCGAGGAGGGCGTGGCCAGAGAGCGACCGCCGGGGGGGGGGGGGACCTGGCCAGCCACTCTATAAAAAATTTAACTTTTGTCAAACCAGAAACGTACGAACCCAAGCAACCCACCTACCGCGGCTGATGCTTTTTGGAAAACTTCAATATTCTTACGTGCTTTTTAGTTTTATTAATACATCGTGTTTATAAAATTACCGTACAAAATTGCAATGTATTAGATGAAGGGAGCAGCAGCACATGGTAGCCAATCAAAAGCAAGGAATAGGAGAGGTGGGCTTAGGGATCGTCAGGTCAGAAGGGGCAGGAATGTGGGCTGCTAGCCAGCGGTCAACAGCGTTTCTTGTACGGTGGTTACCTCGCTGTCACCTTGTTATGCTGGTGGTATTGATGAGCAAAGGAACGCGTGAATGAAGCCTAGTGGTCCTACTGGAGGCATGAATGAAGCCTAGTGGTCCTACTGGAGGCATGAATGAAGCCTAGTGGTCCTACTGGAGGCATGAATGAAGCCTAGTGGTCCTACTGGAGGCATGAATGAAGCCTACAGGCCTACTGGAGGCATGAATGAAGCCTAGTGGTCCTACTGGAGGCATGAATGAAGCCTAGTGGTCCTACTGGAGGCATGAATGAAGCCTACAGGCCTACTGGAGGCATGAATGAAGCCTAGTGGCCTTCGGGAGGCAGACTATTTACAGCTAGTATAGTCCTTACTCTTGTGGCTCTTCCTTATATTTTTATAATAATTTGCTTCAGTGAGGTTACCTGCCAGTTTCTTCGTGGTTTTTTAATTTATACTTGTCTACTTTGAATTATTGTGAGCTCCATTATGTTCAATGGGTATAAATTGGATAAGTTTAGATTTAGGAAAGACTTGGGTAAATACTGGTTCAGTAACAGGGTTGTTGATTTGTGGAACCAATTGCCGCGTAACATTGTGGAGGTGGGGGTCCCTCGATTGTTTCAAGCGTGGGTTGGACATGTATATGAGTGGGATTGGGTGGTTATAAATAGGAGCTGCCTCGTATGGGCCAACAGGCCTTCTGCAGTTGCCTTTGTTCTTATGTTCTTATGTTCCCAAGTTCCACCTGTGCTCATACAATGTGAGGGAATTTAAACGTTTAGACTCATTCATTAATATATTTAATTATTTGTGTAAATATTTGAGTACGTTGGTAAATATTACCCTTTTTGTTTTAGATATTTCATGTCTAAAATATTATTTACTAATACAGTATATTAGTCTTATAAGTTAATGTACTGTATTTGGATGGTTATACAAATTATATTTAGTGGGTAGTTTTATTTCTGTATATTCGTATTCATATGTTTACTTAGATTTCGAGTTGGTTACTTATGCATACATAATTGAGTATATGTTTGGTTTAATAAATTATATTAATTCAATTGCTTAGATCCATTGTGTGACTTGTGATTTTGTATAAATTTATTGTTACTAAGTTAATTATGGCTTGATCCAAGAACCAATTGGTGGTGTCACGTTGAACTAACATGCTTCGTTTTGTTTTCAGAAAAAGTCTCTGGGGCAGGAACTGTTCGAGCGGGTAGTGTACTCCCTCGACATTATCGAGAAGGATTACTTTGGCCTGCAATATACCGACGCCAACCATGTCCCCGTAAGTACCTTTTCCCGCGCTCTTTACTTTGGTTTTTCTTATTTAAATCCTCTCGATACTGTTTCAGTGTCACGTCCCTCGGCTCTAACTCCCCTCCTCTTACCCCATTCTGTGCTAGTTCCCGTCTCTCCTCTTGTGTTAGTGCTCTGTTCCTCTTCCCAATTGTGTGTGTGTTATCCCTCTGGGTTCCCCTTTTTCTGTTATTTGGATTATTGATCACATGCGCTTGTATGGCTCTCTTGATCATACCTTCATGGGGTGCTTCTACTCCCCAGAAGAGGGAGTAGGCTTGTGAGAGCTGTGTCCAACAGGCTGTTGCAGTAGGCTTGTGAGAGCTGTGTCCAACAGGCTGTTGCAGTAGGCTTGTGAGAGCTGTGTCCAACAGGCTGTTGCAGTAGGCTTGTGAGAGCTGTGTCCAACAGGCTGTTGCAGTAGGCTTGTGAGAGCTGTGTCCAACAGGCTGTTGCAGTAGGCTTGTGAGAGCTGTGTCCAACAGGCTGTTGCAGTAGGCTTGTGAGAGCTGTGTCCAACAGGCTGTTGCAGTAGGCTTGTGAGAGCTGTGTCCAACAGGCTGTTGCAGTAGGCTTGTGAGAGCTGTGTCCAACAGGCTGTTGCTTGGTTTGGACATAAACCCCACGTATCCACTAACTATCCTGTGTGATGGGGATTATTAGCATCACGCATTCTTGCCGCAGTCTGCACTCCCTTTCGCATAGTTTACGGAGCTACATAGATGCAGATGTACGTAAATGTGTTAATATAAAATGTAAATGTGTACGTGAGCCCGTTTTATGTCGCCGATGACATTTGTACTGACATTGTATCTTTGTTGAATATCTTAGCCCTGCACGACGTCGGTAGTGTGCGTGGAGGTCTACCAGCCGGACCACCAGATTTCAACCAGATTGACCGGCTGACCCTTCTGATCAGGACTTGTTTCTTCCCCCGCGACTCTCGTATGTTCTGCCCCCTCTAGGGCCAACAACGCCCACACGCCCGGGCTCACCTTTCTCCCATGTTGTGCGGGCCACACCCACGGCCTGCCATGCTTCGATAACCACTTCATCCCGCCACTAAAGCGCAGGACATGAATACAAAGAATATGGCTGATATGTCAATGTGGGAGTCGACTGATGATGACCACACGTAAATGAAGGCTTTGAGATGACGTTCAAATACGTTTATTGAGACAATAAAATAAATCTCAAAGGGATAGAGTAGCTTAGGCTATGTCTACCCTCCTTAGAGGGTGACTTGGCGGCGGACGGCCAGTGTCTCCTGGGAGGAATTGTCTGTCGCTCTTGATTGGTGTTTCCAGCCACATGTTCGCGTATACTCCCACCACATGTTGGTGTATACTCCCGCATAATGTTTCATGACCATATTCACCAGTGTGTCGGCTTACCGATGATAATGTTAAGGGGGCAGCGGTTATATTACCTGACTGGCGCTCCAGTAGTGCCGGCGGCTCCCCAGTTCAACCACAGTCGTAAGGATGGGTGCGAACCTGATGCAGGGTAACACCTCTAATTTTGCCCATCGACTTAAACTATTTAAGTTTAGATTCAGGAAAGAAATCGGTAAATACGGGTTTGGAAAGAGGGGTGTTGATATTGTGGACCAGATTACTGGGTATCATAACTGACGTGAGATCGATAGATTGTTTCAAACGTGAGTCAGACATGTATATGAATGACTTCAGTTGCATATAGTCCTGGGGACCATTCAGGCTTGTTCGCATGTATATGAATGAGTTTGGCTGGGTATAAACAGTATCTGCCTCGTGTGGGCCAGTAGGCCAGGTGACTTGGTTGTGACTTGGGTTAAAGCTGGTTTCGTCAATACGGTTGTATTCTCGGCGGCTTACCCCAGCCCAACGGTCATATAAATATCCCATATTGATGTGGTGAGACCTGCTCTGACCCCCACCGCCCCCACCCTCCCTCACGCAGATGGTGGGCGGGGCTCCCCCCCCCCCCCCACACACACACACACACACACACAGGTGGTGGGCGGGGCTGGCCTCAATTTCCATCTGCATTCGTGGGATTTAATCACTAACATGCTGGTATCCAAATATCCAATGAACTGGGAGCACTGGTTGCAATAAGGAAGGTGTGGGAGGTAGCCGGGAGTGCCCGGTTCTCTCCCTCCTTAATAAGTTCATTGAAATACAAATACAAAGATCTAATGTTCAGCTCACCCCGTTCAGTACGTGTTTATTCGTATATTTAGTCTCGTTACAATCAACACTATTCAATATTCTGAGTGATAAACATTTATTCTTGCACATAGGTGGTGGTGATCAGAACTCTGGCAAATGCATAGAAATACAAAAATAAAAATGAAAAAAACATACAAAGAAGCATAACAATACTTTTATAAACAAGTACAAATATAAAGGCAATAATAATAATAATAATAATAATAATAATAATAATAATAATAATAATAATAATAATAATAAAGCTATGAAAAGACTTGCGAATATCCGAGGCCCAACATAGGCAATCTTTGACCAAGTTTGGTAGATATGTATACTATACATATGCCTAGGAAATATTAGTTTTGGTTATTTCTTGCCTTCTTGTTCGCACTCTGTACTCAATAAGTAGTACAAAGATTAATTTTTTGTTTGGCAACTATCCACATTTTGTACAGTTCATCCAGGGTCGCTGTAGGACTATAGGTACTATCATTTTTGGGTGGCATAGGCTACTACACTCACTTGCTTAATCACGCCTCTCAATTCTCGTTAAACTTGGGTACAGGTTCCCGAGCCTTTTAAGCTCTTATTTCTAAATTTTTAAACTATATGTGTAGTCTGTCTCCATCATCTCGGCGTGCATTCCACTAGTTTGACTTTCTGTGAGTTCCGTCGTCTGGTCGTAGAATTATAATAATTTGCAAGGCAAGCTCTACCACTTGTGAATCCGTGCTGGTGGTGTTTCACAGTCCCTTTTTTCTTCAGATATGCTGCTAACGTTTAATAAGTTACGTTCACTGACCTGCAGTTCAATGCCTCCTGTCTCTCTCTCTCTCTCCTTTTATATTGGGACTACATTGACTGTCTTCAATTTTGTTGTTTTAGATTCAGCTACTCGAAAGAAAAAGTTCCAAGTGAGCCCGTAGTAGAGGCTCATTGGATCCCATTATCTGTATCAATAGCTGATACTGGAGATCAGGGAATGGGGGTTCGTGGACGCGCCAATTGAATCCAAGAGCAGGACTGCACATGATGATTGATGGAGATTAAGCCACCGTAAAGGTGGGACGGGTATGAATAGGCCGTAAATGAAGGCTCTTCCGAGCCTCCACTAGTACCAATACCGGTAGATCTATTTCCAGTGATTTTATTGAACTTCAAAGGAAGCGGCAAGAATAGGGCTTCCACTCAATCTTTACGAGGTGGCATGGACATGAGTAAGCCCATACGTGGTAGATGTTTGGAATGAATGTGATCGTATATACTTTTTTCTTTTCTTGGAGTCCAGTTTCAAGCGTAAACGGACTTGTGATCCTGTGGTCCTGGGTTCGATCCCAGGCGCCGGCGAGAAACAATGGGCAGTTTCTTTCACCCTATGCCCCTGTTACCTAGCAGTAAAATAAGTACGTGGGTGTTAGTCAGCTGTCACGGGCTGCTTCCTGGGGGTGGAGGCCTGGTCGAGGACCGAGCCGCGGGGACACTAAAGCCCCGAAATCATCTCAAGATAACGCGGGCTATTCATGACCGTGCCACTTCTTGTGGTGGCATAATCGTCAACAACAACAACGGTCTTTGGTCGTGTAACATCTTGAAGTGTGTCTGGGCTTCTACTGACTGTGTAGTGTCCCAGCTGCTATGTATAGACGCCTTCATCAGTCCACATTGTCATGTATTGTCAAGTTTCACCGACTGTACTTTTTTTTTTTTTTTTAGCAATTATCTTCACCATAATTATTACACCATGACTGGTGTAAACTACTGCTTATTTATCTGTTACTCGTGTTTCATACAACTTTCCTAATGTTACTGTTTGTTCTCTTCCAAGATTTACCGACTATTTTGACAACAATTATTGCTGTATGTGTGTGTATGTGGGGGAGGGAGATGTGTGGTGAGGGCGCACATACTACATACACTCTCTTGTGTATGGAGTGAGCCACACACATTGAGGTCCAGACAAGGCTGGGTTGGGTGATTGTTGTTGTTAGATTCAGCTACTGGGAACCAAAAGTTCCAAAGTAGCACGGGCTATGGCGAGCCCGAAGTGGACTTACCTGGCAGAGGAGCGGTGCTCATCGCTGGGTTGGGGTGAGGTCATTACTACGTACCTCTGCCAGGGATTAACCGTGTGGCTCTTAATGTACTATTATCGAGGTGTGGTGATTACTATTATTCTCGCTGTTACTCTATATTAGGAATAATTAGCACACACACCATATTAGGACCAAGTGTCACTGGTGTAGAATAAATACCCACACCACTCAGTACATGATGTAGTGGTATATAAGAGTGATCTCCATTGGAATTATGAAGGTATATGTAATTTCACACACATATATGTAAGGCAGTGTCTAGGATGCTCCCGGACGCAGGTTCGAATCCTCGTCACGGCCCTTGTTGATTTGTTTATATGTAATTTGTTATAGCACAAGTCGTAGATGGGTTTTGAAGGTGTACTTTGTTTTGTGGATTGGCCCAGGTAGTGGTGGGAGGTGGAGGTCCGTCAGGTGTTGTGGGGCGGGGCCCGGGAGGCGGGTGAGATCCTTCAGGTGAGGTCGGCTACGTCCTATGTGGTGCCTGGCCACCAGTAACGGCATGACTAAGGTTAAGAACACCAGAACAAAGGTAACTGCAGAAGGCCTCTTGGCCCATAAGAGGCAGCTCCTATCTATAACCCCCCAATCCCACTCATATACGGTTAAGGCTGATGGAATATAATTTGGATATGGAATATGTGTGGTTTGGTTAGTGAGATAATGAATATATTGTATGCAGAAAATGTATTTGATAATCA